GCAGGTCAAATGCACCTATAATATATTCTACCGAAAAATTTAAGCAAAACGCAGAAAAATTACACATTTATCTGAACAAATAAATAATTCATCGTTGAAAGAATTACTATCATCTTGACTTTTAAGATGACGTGACTACTCATCGAACGCAATAAACTGGTTAAAAAATATATTTTAGAAAACAGTTGAACATCTTAGAAAATGAATGCAGCTTGCACAAAATCTGTACACTCATAAATATAGTACTACAAACATTACGAAAGGGAGAAGGTACACATTTTTCTTTCTTAAAATAGAAGTTCGCGTTTATTTGTAGATAAAATGAATAATCGGCGTGCACAGGCAATAGATTTCCTTTTCGATTATTTTTAATTTCTCGCGTGCCAGAGGAATCCCAGCGACCCAACTTTTTCGCTGGCGGTCCAAGATCAACAGCCTTGAAAAGCTTTCAGCTGATCGCGAAAACGGCGCTTCTTGAAATAGAACTTTCGCAACGGATGCGCTACGCAAACACGACTTTCTTGCAATAATATTTGCTCATCGAACGATATGCGAGGGTTTAGAAACGCGGACCGGAAGAAATATGTCTGTATGAGAATTTTTGGACGCGCCCCTAGCAAATTTCTCGTACGATTACCGCGACAAGTAGCAAACTTTTTATCAACCCTTTGCCCTATGGCTTCTTTCTCAACTATGATCCAAACAACCCTCTTGTCATTAACAATTTATTGAAGAAAGAGAAAAATTCTAAGTTCATCCTATGCATATGTTTAATTTAAAATAAAGCAATTGATAATAAATGATAATATCTTATTTGGATTCAAAAGAGTTGAGTAATATTTATGTTTGTTAAATTGGGGTTAACAATTAGTATTGAAGACAACGGAATCCTCAGTTATAAATTATTATCAGTAGACTGCGGATGTTTATGTCACTAAAATATGTCAAAGTATGCAAGTGAATATGCATTAAGAATATGTCAACATTTACTAGAAATATGCTATAATAATTTTGTTACTCAAACGTAGTAATTAACAATTACAATTTAAATTATTTTGAGTAAACATGATGCGTATAAGTGGATATATTGTCCTCTTTCTAATGAAAGCTAAATACATATGGCAGTTGTACATGATCAGTGATCACTTAATCAACAACAGATAATATTCGAAAGAGTGTGAGCATCGATTTCACGAAACAAGATTGTCAGAAACGTACGTGACATATGTAATGTGTTTCTACACACGTTCTTACTAAAAAATAAGTGAAGCACATGAAATATGCAAAATATGTAAAATAAAAAACACAGTTTTAAAATCGTGTAGCGATAAGACAAATTTCTTTGTCCAGGTTTCACATTTCTACCTATTTTCTGTAAAAATATGCATTTGCATAAACATTCGCAGTCTAACTATCAGTATCCAATCATTCTTATTTTAATTAGAAACTGCTTCTATATCGAACCGTTACCCACAAAGGTGCAAAACATAATAACAGAATATGGTAACGTTACTTCCATAGACTTTTACGAAAGTTTAACAAGAGAAAGTTTAACAAAGATAAGAGACTAATGGAATACTAAATTCAGTAAAACAAGATACATCGAAGTTGCAGTCCTCGATTTTGCTGCAATATTCCCAGGAAGTAATTCTCGCAAATGACATTCAACGCATACATTCTTTACCTATCAACATTCTCACTACAGCTGTGAAAAAAATTTGTCATTGATACTTTCGATGCGAAAAGCACGTATTGAATATATTAGCAAGATCAACTTTCTAGCAAAGTTGCACAAAAATCGACAAATATAACTTCGATACGTTTGATCGCAACGAATCCACTCTATAATCTTCTTACCGACTCGTACATCGATCGCTTATCGTCGACAACTTAAACACACATAAAACATTATGGAAATCAACGAAAGATCATTACACGAAACACACTCCTCTCGTGCCAATTTGAAACTAATCTGTCACGCGATCTTCCGTTAATTGTCACAGTCTCCGGTAATTATCGACGGTGCATATTGCGAAACATCGGGAATTAATCAGTTCATTAATGATCGCCGGAGGAGCCTTTTTTCTGCGTTTCGATACACGCCGGACGGACGGAACAGTTTGCTCGATTTTCCCGTATCGATGGAACCCCTTTGATACGGTTTTACGCCTGTCGAGGTTCTGAACCAGTTCGGTCGTCGGGACTCTCCCATACCTTTTTCCCTGGAGCGTTCCGCTTACCGCGGTCATCCATTTCCCTGTTTCTTTCCTCGTCTATCCTCGCGTTATCTCAGCCGTCTGGCACGGTCGAAAACATTAAATACTCCGCGACGTAACGCGAAGTAATTTAATTATCTTCCCCTTGTCATCTATTTTTCCGACGTTTTCTTTGCGATATGGTTTCTTGCGGCGCTACAACTCGACGCATTCTTTTTGCACCGGTATTCCTCCGATGCTGTTAACGATCCCGGTATTCGATACCGGGTTCATCGATTTTTCCATCGCTTTTTCCTGCACCGCAGCGGCGGCACTGCTGCTTCCTGTCTTTTTGCTCGGCTCCACCCTTTCTCCCGATCTTCCTCGTTATCTGCTCCGATGCGCTCGTTTCTTTGCACGATATACTTTTCTGGCCGAACCTTTTTTTTCTCTATTGCCCGGCCTCTTCTTTTCAGTTCTATTGTCTCGCTGCCCGGTCATCCTCTCTCCCGTTCCAACCTTTCGCCTGTTCACGGTTGTTCAAGTTTTAATTGCACTCTTTGTCCTGCTGTCCAGTGGAGATTTTTCTGTTACTGTTCACGTTCAATTCTTCTCGATTTCATTATTAAGGAGAATCTGGAAAGTAATGGATTTTTTGATAGAAAAGGATAGGTTTAGAGGAATATTGGAAATATTTCGAGTACCAGATCTACAAACCCACAAAATAAAATTAATGGAAAAAGAAGTAAGAAGAGGAGAAAATAATGATATAGACGAAAAATCAAGCAACAATAATACGTCCGTGTCTATGTGAAAACATTATAAAAATATTAACTATAAAGGAAAGTCCCCGAAATTTGTAATATTCATATATTTATTATACATCACCTATAGAAAATTAATTTTGAAAATATATATATTTGCTTCAACTAGTTGATACTGTCACCAGAAAGATGTGTCGATCGTAAAGGTTTAATACAGTTAATAATAATAATACAAAAGTGTATACTGCTACTGAACAGTGCGTTCAATCAACAGGAAAAGAACAAATTGATAAAAAAAATGAGTATTATAAGCAAAGAGAAAAATGAGATTAAATTAAAGGGAGCAATGTTAGTGCCCAATTTAAAAAATAATTTATTATCATTCTCGCAAATTGTTAAACACGGTTATAAAGTGACATTTTATAAAGACTGTGCTAAGGTGAGAAGACGGTTCGGTGGTGATGTGTGTTAAAGACATAAATGGTTTGTATGTTATGAAAGAAAGCGGAAACCATAGCAGTGCCATAATGCAAACAAAAAGTAATACGTTGATTAAATGGCGTTAAAAACTTCGGTATTTAAATTTTAACGATGTACGCAAGTTAAAGAACAAGCAAATGGTAATCAGTACAAAAGAGGACATGATAAATTTGGAGAACCGTGTTTGTAAAGATTGCATGCAAAGTAAGATACATCAGTTACCGTTTAAGTCTTCAAATAGGAGAGAAAAGGAAGTATTAGGCTTAGTTCATAGTGACATTTGTGGCCCATTCGATAAAGTTTCCTTAGGTGCGGCGAAATATTTCGTCAATTTTATAGATGACAGAAGTAGCTATATTCATCTAATTTTAAAGATTATAAAGTTTCCGTGGAAAAACAAACTGATCAACAAATTGAAAGATTAAGAACAGACAATGGCGCAGAATATTTGTCAAAGGAATTCAGTAATTTTCTAAAGAAAGGAGTTATTCGAAGAGAATTAAGATTGTGTTATATTCATATTATAGCTTGTTTGTTTGCAGTGTCCTGCGGTCAGTGTTACTTTTGCGTTTCGTGTACTTAATAAAAATTTTATTATTTATTAAAAACCTAACAGAAACATCGGACCGAATATAGTTTTCGTCATAATTTTCTTGCCAACAGTCACATTCCACTTATTGCCTTCACTAAAGAACCAGAAATCCTAACAGTCCTAATAATCAATAGTTCATAAAGGTATCTATGAACGATTCGAAAAAGGTATCAATATTTACCACGTTCTTGCGTTCTCACCTCGTCCCACGGGACTCGAGTAGATAACTTGTTCTCGAAAAGGGTTCAGCTGTCGTTAAAGCGAGCTCGCTCGTTGTCGGTGTATATAGCGTCGTAAAACGGTGAATAAAACGACCCATTGACAAC